TGCATCACCATGGAGGTCCATCCGCTGCCTACACATGAGGTCAGTCCATGTAGATCTCTGCTTGCTCACCCTGGCGTCTCCTGAGACCAACCATTCTGCTGCTGAGCTGTTCTGATGATTGTAGCTCTTCCTGCTCCTGAGCCTGAAATTTGGCCTGCCCGAGCCTCCACCTGCTGGTCAGGGTTCTGCTGTCTGGGACCCTGGAATGAGTGTCATCACTGGCCCCAGAGCAACTGAGAGGGAGGGGAATCTCTATCAGAGTTCTCCCCTGTAGGCAGTCTCCTATTTATCCTGCAAAACCCACTCAGATACTCCCTCCTCTGGGAAGTTATCCCTCTCCCCCCAGGCAGTTTATTCCTTCTTTCATTCCTGTTTTCAACCAGCATCTAGCAAGCACCTACTAGGTGCCAGGCAAAACCCCTGCCTAACGAAGCTGAAAATCTAGGAGGGACAGAGAAAAACACATTGACTAAAACACCCAATGATAGCTGGGTTTTTTCCTAAAAAAATATTTAACCAATGTTTACACATTACATTTGGCAGTGATGTCTCTTTGGTCTCTTTTAATATATTGTAGAACAGTCACTCCCACCTTGACTTTTTTTTTTTTTTAATGAAAACAACTTTTTAAAGTGACCCAGCCAATCATCTTTTAGAATGTTCCCTGTTATAGATGGAGTCTAAAGTTTCCTTCATAGTGTCATTTGCCTTATTCCTCTAAACCCTCTATCTCTTGTCACTGGAAATTAGGTCAAGAGCAGGGGTTGGCAAACTTTTTCTGTAAAGGGCCAAAAAGTAAATATTTTTGGCTTTGCAGATCATACAGTCTCTGTTTCAACTACTTGGCTGTGTCATTGTAACATGAAAGCAAACATATGCAATATGTAAATGGAGCATGGTTGTGTTTTAATACAGTTTTATTTATGGACATTGAAATTTGGATTTAACGTAATTTGCATATGTCACGCAATATTAGTCTTCCTTTGAGCCTTTGAACCATTTAAAAATGTAAATACCATTCTCAGCTCATGGGCTGCACAAAAACAGTCTGAGGGCCATGGTTAACCCATAGTTTGCTGACACCAGTTATGGGGTGCCCACCAGATCTCTCCGTTGAAAAGGAGATACCAGATCGTCTGTACAGTGCTCCTTCAGCACTGGTGAACATTCTGTTCTTTAAAACCTTTCACCTAGTGTTTTGGCATCTGCTATGCACTGAATTGCGCCTGTCCCAATGCATATGTTGAAGCCCTAGCCTCCAATGTGACTGTGTTTGGAGATAGGGCCTTTATGGAAGGAATTAAAGTTAAATAAGGTCATAAGGTTCTAATCCAATCAGACAGGTGTCCTTATAAGCAGAGACACCAGAGTTGGTTCTCCCTCTGCCTTGTGAGGACACAGGAAGAAGGCGTCTTCTACAAGCCTGGAAGAGAGCTCTCACCAGAAACCAACCCTGCCAGATCTTGATCTGGGACTTCTAGCCTCCAGAACTGTGAGGAATAAATGCTTGTTGTTTGAGCCACCCAGTCTATGGTATTTTGTTATGGCAACCCAAGCTGACAAATACATTGATGATTCTTGCCTAAATCGATTCTCTAATCAGGGCTGCAAAATGGAGTGTTTCTTGTACTCACATTCCTTCCAGTGTGTTAGCTGGCATTTTTCTACAAAGAAAAGCTTTCCCTCATCAACTAGGAATGAACTTCAGTTCCTCCCAAAAAGGCAGGATAAATGCTTAATTCTCTAAGGGAAGGTTTTTGTTTTTTCTTTTTAAATGAAAAATTCTAGAACCTGTTTGTATGCTGAGAGGATAATTCTGTGGAGACAGAGTGACAATGGTGCAAGAGAGGGGATTATGGAAGGTGTAAAGTCCTCAAAAGAGGAGAAGATTTGAAGTGCAAGTCAGGAAGGGGGAGAAGAGGCGGGAAGTTGGAGGATAGAAGAAAGGGTGAGAACTGGTCATCTGGGCAGACACCAGGGTCAGCTTACTAAGAAACACCCTGGAGGGTGGCTGGGCCTGAGTAGTGTTCTTTTGAGGCTGGGAGTTGTGTCCCTGTCTGTATGGCAGGTGGTTTTTCTCCTCCACATCCAGAGAAGGTGGATGGTTGGATTCCTGCAGGCCTGGGGCTTTCCAGGCACGTACACTGGAGGGAGAGGGAGGCAAGCAGTGCAGTGTCTTTGCAAAGGAGGCCTATAAGGAGTGACAACAGAATCTAAGCTGGTTGAAAACAGAAGTGAGAGCAGAAGAGTGATAGCTAGATGGGAAATGGATGGGAGGTCTCAGCAGGCTTGCTGGGCTGTGATTTTTGGTTTTGCTATCAGTTTTCAAAATTGAATTAAAGGAACATGTGAACACAGGAGCTGGAAGGATAGTGGGGGATTTTAGCAGGCCCCTCCTTTGGCCTCTTTGCAGTGTGCCCACCAGTTACCTGTGCCACATAGGGAGCAAGTCCACATAGAGGACAAGGACTGGATTCCTATCTAAGCCCCCAGAACCCAGCTTGGCACAGAGTAGTGACAGGGAAGATTTGAGGTATGATTGAATGAATGGATGACAGCAAACACTTATATGGCACTTACTAGTTGCCAAACACTGGTCTAATAGCTCATTGATTTCTCCCAAGACTCCTGTGAGGTGGGGTCTACTATTATCTCCATTTTACAGTTGAGCAAACTGAGGCACAAAAAGGTAAAATAATTTGTCTAAAGTCATGGAGCTAGGAAGAGGCAGAGATGGTCTACAAACCAAGCAGCCTGGGCCTAGAGTCCATGTTCCTAACCACCAGGTTATTCTAAATGGATGAATGAGAGTCATAGAATCTCTGTCCTGAGTAATGCCAGGTATCTCTTGAGATCAAGAGAGATCCAGAGACAATAAACAAGGAAATGAGAAATATACCATTCTAGATTGTGACAACTGCTATAAAGGAGACCAACTGGGTGCCAAGAGCAAGAATGAGAGGTGGTCCTTAGATGGGGTGGTCAAGGCAGGCTTCTCTGAGGAGGCAGCACTTCAGGTAAAGGGTAGAAAGGAGGCAGCACTATGAAGAGCAAGAAAAGTGTCTTAGGAAGAGGGAACAGCATGTGAGGAGGCCTTGACACAAAAATTTAATGCATTCTAGGAACTGAAAAGGATTCTCGTGGCTGAAGAGGAAGAAGGCCCAATGGACTAGAGAGGTGGGCAGGGTCCAGGCACACAAGGCCTGGCGGGCCATGGCAAGGCATTTGGATTTTGTTATTCTTTATTATTAATGTACTTTATTTTATTTTTATTGTTCCAAGCAAAATGGGAGGTAAGCCATTAGAGAGTTTTAAGCCATTTGCCCAATTTGTATTTCAAAAGCAGCAGTTTTGTTCTTCCAATCATTTGCTTCCTTGGTCATTGATTCTTGAATTTCTTCATTCATTCTTTAATTTTACTTTCAATTATTTATTTCTTCATTGGCCTGTCACTTGTTCATCTGTTAATTCCTTTGTTCCTTGAATAATTCATGCATTTCTATGCCCAGAAAGCCTGTGACACTGTGCCAGACCCCAGGAGGGCACTGGGACATTGACAAGAGCCAGACCCAGACCTTGCCCTTGAGGAAAACGCATCTCACACCTCCACACCTTGGAAACCAGGCAGAAGGTGCTGAGTGTTCTGCTGGGGATGGGGGTGGCAACCAGGGATGGCCTCCTGAGGAGTCAGATCTTGAAGGATGACAGAGAAAGCCTGATAGATTTGGGGGACACCTCCCCCTCCCCCATAGGGACAGGGATCCATCTCTTTCATCTCTGTGCTCCCTAAGCTTGGCACCTGACAGGCAATGGTAAATGTTTGTTTGTTCATTGAACACGTGGACCAATGGCGAGTCAGGGAGTGCTTGATGGTGGAGAAGATGGTGCCCAGCAAGCGTGAGGCCATCCTTCCCAAGTTCCTGCACCTTCACCTCCTTCCCTGTGTCTTTCTCCCCATTCCTTCTTCCATTTTCCTAAGGAAAAGCATTCTTACCTGCATTCCACCATACTCTGTCACCACTCAGTCACATTGGGGTACACCTTAGTGCATGCACAAGTGCGCGCGCACACACAGGCATTCACACACATCCCTATTTCACACATGCATAATGTGTACCAGTTGTTGATTCCCAAATTGCAGTCATGGTGTTCACTGATTACAATTACGTGCGCATGCGTGCGTGTGCACACACACACACACACACACACACACACACACCCTGTACTTATGCACCCTCCCTGCCTCCCACCATATTCCAACACACACACTTCTCCACCAAACAGCCCTCCCACACACATCTTTTCCTCCCCAGACAGGAAGGACTTTCCTGGTCCTTGATTTAAGGCTAAAAAAGTAACAGTGGCCAGAGGGGGGGATTGAACCCCAGATTGAGGGGGTTCAGGGACCCTTGCTAGTTGGAAAGGCTGGAACTGTGATACAGGAAGATACTCAGTTTTTCTAAAACTTGGGTGTGGGGGGAGGCTGACACCCTTCCCTTCCCTCAGTATGGCCTGATGGCTGATTGCTCTGAAAAGCACTTTCCTAAGGAGAGGGTCTCCTGCTGCTCCCACTGTCAGACATCCCTGTGTCCCCAGTGCCCAGCAGCCCCTGAGGATGGCAAGGCATGGTGACTGGATCTAAAGTGGCTCTGGTGACAGCAGTGTGAGGTCAACTGGCTGTGAGAATTTGGATAAAACCTATCCTCATTTGGTCCTCAGTTTTCAGAGCTGCAAGAGGGGGGCTTCAATGATAGAGAAAAGCCCTGTTAACCTCAAATACAATGATTCTAAAAGAGCAGGTGCTTCTGGGTGGGGGGAGGAACCTGTCCCTTTGGAAGAGGCACTTAAGAAGGCTGTGCTGGGGGTTCAGGTCTGCGTGGAGGAGCTGGGGTGGGAGAGCCGACCCGGGTAACCGAGGCGGAAAGTGGGGGTGGGCGGGCCTGGGATTTGAGGGCCCCTCCCCGCTGCTGGCAGCTTGGGGCTGGGGCGTGACTGCGAGTTCTCCCTGCTGCCACCGCCGTCGCGCCGCTGCGGCTGCAATAAGAGAAGTCCGAGACGGCTTCCTCCTCCCTGCCCAGAGGGGCGGCGGTCAGAACCCCAGTTTTCTCCCTCCACTCGTCCGCACTTGTGGCTGCTGGGAGCCCTGCTGGCTCGCCCTGAGGTTCGTCAGAAGCGGCCTCCCCAGGGACCAGGTAGGCGGCCGTCAGGTGGGGCTGGAGAGACAGCGCGGTGCCCCGCCCCTGGCCCGCCCGCGGCCCTGGAGGGAAGGCGAAGTGAGATAAACCTGAATTTAGGTAAGGGAGTTGAGGGAGTTGAGGGCCAAAGGGGCCCCACCCCGAAAAGAAGCTAAGGAGGAAAACAGGAGACCTGGAGAGTACGACTGATAACACGTAGGAGAGAGGGGTGAGGGACTATATGGAAAGCATACAAAAGGGACCCCCAAAAAAAGTCTGGTGGGGAAAACGTTGGGAACCTGTTCAGTGAGATAGATAGAATTTAGGAAGGAGGCTGAATCGGGGGGGTGAGACTAAGGGGACCCCCAAAAGGGGCTGGGGGAGAAACTGAGGGAACCTTGAAAGTGAGGGTTTGGGGAGAAGCTCCCCTGGGAGAGGCGAACCAGGTGAGGGGACTGGGAGGATCAGGTGTGGGAGTTTGCTGGAAGGGGGTTAAGGAAAACCATTTGTGGAGGATGCAGAATATAGCGCGTAATTCCGGGGGTCCATGAAGTACCCCAATCTGTAATCGGCAGAAGTCGGGGGTGAGGCCTGTAGCCAGCCAGGAAGGGAGCGGAGGCGGCTACCAATCAGCCCCCTCGACCCTCCGGACCTCGCACTGGTGGGCGGGTTGTGGATGGAGAGGGGACCCCTTCAAGGCGCTAAAGGCGTGGGTCCGGGCTTCCTGGGGAAGTTCCCGCCCTCAGCAGGGATAGGCCTTTCTGGGTGCCCCTTCCCCGCCCGCAGTGGCGGTCTCGGTCCACGTTCCCCTCGGGATCCGGGAATTGCTGGCTGCCCCGACGGAAATCCTGCCTTTGACCGCGATTGCCGGGAGGGGCTGTCACCATGGCAACAAGAGGGCGGAGAGGCAGAGCCCAGTGCTTGGCTACTGTAGCGCACACTGCCCTCGCAGTCCCCTTTGGCCACCCCCTCCGCCCCTATTTTGGGTCCTCAGTCGGAGGCGGGCAGCCGAACTGAGGAGTAAAGCGATGATGCTCCGTGTTCAGGGATCCTGAGGTGGGCGATCTGCAGCTTCAGGAACTCAGGCAGACTGGGCCCTTGATTGCTGTGCGACTTTAGGCAAGTTATGGGGCGTCTCTGGGCCTCATTTTCCTCATTTGAATTATAGGGGGAAATTATTTGTGTCCCTACCCAGACCCTACATCCACCTCATCTCCAGTCATGAGAATCAGGTGCAGAAAGCAGTTTTTGCCCAGTGAGCTGGAGGGGTTAAGAGTTATTTATCACTGACCCCAGGGAACCTCCCCTTCACCTTCTCAAAAACACGTAGCGGGACCAGAAAGCCTGACAGGGCCTCCAGGGTCCAGCACACAGCTGACGTCTAATAAATAAATGTTTGTGATCTGTTGAGGGACCGTCAGCAGGTTTGAAATTTGTCCCTAACACCCACGGTGCCACACCCAGTGATTCTGAGTCCTTTTGCCTCCTTCCATTGTTGGTGGTGGTAGTGGGAGAGCAGAGCTCTGTCCCCACTTCACGGACGGAGAGATGGAGGTTTGGGAGTGAATGACTGACAGGGCCAACAGTAGGGACCCAGAGTCCAGGGCATTTTGTCCCCGATGTGGTGAAAGAAGTAGCCAGAGCTGAGGCTTGAGTTCCCTCCTCATCCCTACCAAATCCTATGTAGCCTTCTGGAGAGGGGAGTGGGTGAAGGGGGACTGATACAAGAAAATAAAGGGCGCATGGGCTTCATGGCTGGCTTCTGCTCCTCAGTGGGTGTGAAGCTGTGAGTCGGGGTGTGAGAGCAAATGTGAGCATTTGAGCTTTGAGTGAATGAACATGAGCATTTGAACAAATGTGTGGGTATTTGGGTGTTCTCTGCAGCCACCTGGGGCTGATGTGGAGAAGGAAGTGGCCAGACCTTGAGAGGCTGAGTAGTGGGGCCCTAGAGCTGAAGGGGGAGTCAGGGCCCTTCCAGCTGGCCTGAGGGGGAACCCGGGGAGGGGGCTTCCTGCCTGGCCACACTGTGGAATCTAAATTCCTGTTCCTTAGCTCCTCCTGGACCACATATGCCTCCCAGCTCCCAAGAATCTCAAGTCCCTAAAGACCCCTGTTTTAGAGGCTCATGGGTGTGTTTTCAGCAACAGATGAGAAACCACTTTTACCCACAAGAAGTGGAGAAAACTCAGCTGACACCCTCAGGACCTTATGGAGGGTAAAGCTAGTGTGGCAAAGATAGGTACCCTCCCCCTCCTTGCCCCACCCCTCCCTTTCCCTCCTCCTCACACCTGGCCCCACCAAGGCAGTAGAGTCAGAATGGGGTAGGTCTTCACCTATGGGTGTTCTGGGGTGGGGTGGTAAGGCCTCAAGAAAGCCTGGTGTGAGATGGTTGAAGGGTCTATGAGAGGTGGGAGCCTCAGTGAAGGAGAAGAGGGCTCAGTAAGGGCACTGGCGCTCCATGAGGGGTAGAGTGTCTCAGTGAGGGATGGAAGCCATCAGTTAGGAAGGTCAGGTCTTGATGATGAAAGGGATGCCGTGGGGCTGAGACTTGCACCCTGCCCTTCCAGCCCTGGCCTGTCCCTGACACCCCTAGAGCCTCGGGGAGAAGCCGGAACTCTTGCAGGATGGTGGTTTCCTGCCTGCTGCCCAAAGTCCCAGTTCCCTTTTGGTGAAACCCCCCAGGCCGCTTGGGCCAGCTCAGCCCGCCCACATCACCCTGGGAACTTCTCTTTCTTCTCAGCCTGGCCACTCCTCCTCCTTCTGCCTTGGAGGGGGCCTTCCTCAAGGGAAAGGAGTAGAAGTGAAAGTTCACTGAGCACCTACTATGTGCCTGATGTTTTCAGGGGCTTGACCACATTTAATGCTCAGAAGCAACCTCATGAGGTAGAGATTTATATTCCTATTTTCTGGGCAAAGAAACTGCAGCTCAGAGAGGTGAAGTGACTTACCCAATGTCTCAAGCTAGTTGTCAGACCAGGTAGAATTTGCACCTAAACCTGTCTCCAGATCCCACAGATACTTGGCAGGGGTTGGGGAAAAACAGGACATCCTGGGTCTACATCAAAACCCTGATATGGCTTTGGGAAGTGTGGCCCTCAAGAAAGGATGAGTGAGCCAGGGGTTCCTATGTCCAAGACTAGGGGTAGGAAGGAGGCAGGTTTCCTGCTGGGTGGCCAGCTGCCATCTGGGCAGCAGTGGTGTGTTCTGTTGGCCAGAGGCTGGGTAGGAAATATGATGTTCTCCAGTCAGGGACAGCATGACCTCCTGCTCAGGCTTTGGAGAACACAGCCATGGTGCCGGGAACAGAATTCTGGGACTGAATTAATAGTCCTGGCTTTGAATCCCCTGTCTGGCTATTTGACCTCCAGCAAGTCATTTCCCCCGCTACACACAAGAGGGAGGGTGGACTGATTAATGGTCCCTGGGGGCCCTTCTAGCTTTGCTGCTTGTGGTTCTCAGCCTCACTTAGCCACTGCACTCTGGGCAAGAGCCACATCTCTTCAAGCCTTCCCAACAACTGCACAGAAGGTACAGATGCAAAAATTGAGGTTCAGCGGGCTATGTCATTCACCCCAGGTCCCAGAGTTCGGGAGGGCCACACAGAGGAGATGTTGAAGGCTGGAGCACCATATTCCAGGGTTACACCTCAGCTCTGACACCCACAGCCTGATTTTTTATTCAGATGAGCCTCTGGAAGCCGCCTCCTGTCAACCAAACATTCAAGAGACATATTCATTAACAGACTCAAGTCCCTACCTATAAAATACGGGTAATAATAAAACCCACCTCGTAGGGCACTCAGTGAGATCATGCATGGAAATTGCTTGGTACAATGCCGGGCACTAAATAGGTGTTCAGTAAATCAGCATTTTAAAACTAATAGTTATAGTCACCCAGACTTCTAGGAAGTCAAATTACTCTCCAAAGAATTGGTGGCACTAGTAGAGATCCGAGCTAGGCCAGGACAGACAGCTGGGGAGGAAGGAACTATTTTCCTGTGAACGCCTGAGCAGAGAGGACCCAGCCTGCTCTCTTTTCTGTCTTTGTTTCTTTAGTTCTGTCTCTGACTCTTTCTCTTCATCTCTGCCTTTCTCTTTTTCTGTCTCTGTCTCCCTGTCTGTCTCTCTACTCATTTCTGTCTCGGTCTCTTTCTCTTTGTTTCTTTCCAGCAGTGAAGTGCTGGAGCCAGCTAGTTCTGGCTCCGGGGAGCTGATTCTGCAAATCTCTTTCCAGCTCCACATTCAGGAAGCCACTTTGGTAACCTGAAATCGGCAATGGTGGGAATATTTACACCATGGAAATCAGCAAATGCTACAAATCAGGGCCTTTTTTTTTTTCCTTTTAAGGGTCAGTATACCAACACATCAGACTGGGTTTCTCTTTGTCTCTCTGTCTGCATTTATGTCTCTCTGTATCTCTCAGTATCTGCCTTTTCTTTTTCTGTCTCTCCCCATCTCTGTCCTCTGACAAAGCCATATGAGCATGGTCACATTCAGTGTGGCCCCCTCACTGCCTTGGGTCATGCGGATGCCAGACCTTGTGCCCCATACCCTCACCCATATCCCCTAACTCCCTCAACATACTGCTGCTCAGAGGACCAGGCCTAGCCCCAGGCGGTGGTCCCCATCAGGCCTGGGAGTACAAATTCCTGAGAGCTAACCCTGCTGCCTGCTGCCCATGGCGTCAGACCTGCCAGGGCTCTTCCTCAGCCCACAGGGCCCCTCTGCTTCCTTCTCAGAGGCTGACAGCTTCTGAATCCCCACCCCATTCCAGGCATGCAGAATTCCCGGCTCCCCTTAGGCTGATTTTAAAACATTGTGGTAACATGTACCCAAGTGGCAGAGGTGGTATAAGTTTGTGTCTCTTATAGAGGGGAGTTCTGTGTGAGTCTGGACCTCGGAGAGGGCTATGTATATCTCTCTCTGTCCCTGCGGGGGCTCCATGCATCTGTGCATGTTTGTAGGAATGTCTGTAATGATCCATGTCTGTGACCAGGCAATGGAAAGAAGTGGTTCAGATTCTAGAGCTAAATGCCAGGACACATCAACTGTGTGAACTTGGGCAAGTTTCTAAATCTCTCTGTGCCTCAGTTGCCTTATCAATACTACTACTACTACTACTACTACTACTACTACTACTAATAATAATAATAATAATAATAATACTCACCACATAGGATTGTTATGAGAATAAAAGGAGGCAATAGGTGTAAAGTGTTTAAAGCAGTGGCTGGCACATAGTAAGTGCTATAAATTCTGTATATGTTATTCTTTTTTTTTAATTGGGGAATTGAGGGGATGGGAACAGTGCTGGGGAAGTGGGGGAAGGGGAACAGACAAGTTGCTCTCCTTTTTGTTCTTCAATCTAGTTGTGGAGGACGTTGCTTCACTGGCCCAAGTTGGCACCATCATTGCGCTCTTCCCGGGTGAGGCAGATCAGTCGCTGGCTTCTGGACGGCCTCTCACTGCGGCTGCTGGCCGCTCACGCTGGCTGCTGGCTGCTCACACTGGCTGCTGGCTACACATGGTAGCCCATGGCAACCCACTGCAGCAGGGGTTGCAGCCTACGCCATCGCCAGCGACTCACAGCAGCCCAGCTCCAGGTTGAGCTATTGTTCAGCATCTTAGCTGTAGAGGGCATTGTCACTGGCCCTCATATGTGGGATCCAAACCAGGGCCCTCTGGCGTCCCAAGTCAGCTCTTCTTAACCAACGTGCCACTCAGCCGGCCCCTGTATATGCTATTCTTGTGGAGAAGCTCTGTGTGTGTGTGTGTGTGTGTGTGTGTGTGTGTGTGTAGATGGGTGAGGGCTGGAGGTGTGTGTATATGGGGGTGTAGGTATCCTTGAAGATGTATGCATCTGTGAATCTGTACAGAGGAGCTCAGAGGAGCTGAGGTAATACGTGTGTCTGAGAATGTGTCAGGAGGGCTGTGTGAATGTGGGTATAGGCCCTGTGTGCCACTTGAGATAAGCACATATCTTCTTATGAGAAGACCTCCATTCTCACCCTGTAACCGTGTTGTCATCTTACTCCCATCTGTCCCCTCAGTGCCTGAAAGGCTTGGATGCCACCCCCACTTCCATTCTCTCCCTGGCCCTAAACCAGCCCTGTGACACCCTGGAGCCTTTCAGACACAGTGGTTTTGCCTCAGGGTATGGGTCTTGAGGTGACGTCTCTGCAATGGCTTAGTGAACAAAGGCTATTTTAGGTTTCGCACCACAGCCTGCCTCACAGTTCACCACATGAGTGTCAGCACCCCTCTTCTAGGGGAGGACAATTACCATGAAAGGTGAGAAGGGCTGTTAGGGCTAGAGTAGGGTCAGGGCACTGATGTGACAGAGCCATCGTCTAGGCAGCTGGACCTGGTGGATCCAGGAAGGCTTCCTGGAAGAGGTGAGTGGTGCTTGGTAGGAGGGGCAGGACTCAGAGAGAAGAGGAGGAGTATATCCATAAGGGGAACTGGACTTGGGGGTCAAGAAAAACAAGGCAGTGACCTTTGGGCCGTCTGGGGGAAAATCAGTGTTTACTGGGTTGACCCTACCCTACAACTTTCCATTCCTCTCACATCTCAGGAAACTGAGCTTTCTCTCCAGCAGTTCCTCTCTGAGTGTTGCAATGGCAGAGTTTCTGGTGGGGTGTGGGGAGCCCTTGCTCAATGGCCTGCCAGCCTGTTACTCAGGGGACACAGTTACCAGGAAAGTCTTGGCTCATTGGGGGACTCCCCAAGGGATCCTGTGGCCCTGGCTTCTGATCTGGGCCTTTCCCTGATGTGAGGATAGGAGCAAGCTCTGGAAGTAGGTGTTCACCTTCACTCTGCTACCAGATGTAGCTCTGGGCTGCTGGGGTTTACCCAGCTCAGGCTGGGGGCAGAGGCATCGTCCGAAGGAAGGGCTTGTTTTTAGGAGACAGTGACTGGCAGCCCAAGAGCATGCCTTGATAGAAATGCCTTGATGAGCATGGCTTGATAGAAATCCAATTCAAGAGATGGGTCTAACACTAAACTATGAGTGTCCAAGTGTACAAGTCTGTTAGCCTAAGAGGCAGCTTGTGTGTGTGTGTGTGTGTGTGTGTGTGTGTGCGCGCGCGCGCGCGCGCGCGCACACGCGTGCTTGTGCTTGTATGTGCTATTGAGCATCAGAGCTTGAGCTCCTGTGAGAGTTAGTTTGTGTTGGTGTGTTAGTGGTGTTGGTTAGCCCATTCATGCAAGTATATGCTGTGAATGTTGGCATGTGACTGTTGCTGGTGTGTGTGTGTTACTGTATATGGCAGTGTGTTGCTGTGTCAGGTGGATATGAGTGTGAGTCAGTGTGGGTGGTGTGTCCTGTGTGCGGGTGGATATGTAAGTGTGCCAGGGGTGGTGGGAAGGAAAATGAAGGCAGAAGTCATGCTGGGGCGGAGCCCAGGCCTTCTGGCTTCCTGAAGAGGGCAGGAGCTGGCAGCTAGCTTGCAGGAACATTGGCAGAGCCTTCATCTTCCATATCCTTCTGTCTCGCCCTCAGGTCTCTGGCCCCTCCCAAGGACCATGCGGCAGCCCCACTGACCAAGGAATAAGAGCCTGAGGGGTGAGTGGGGAGAGGGGGGTGCTGAGGGCTTTCTGGGTCAGGAAATGGGATGGAGGTAGCCTTCCTGGGCCCCACAACTCCGCACAGCCCCCTCCTCCTACAAGGGCCCTGTTGCTAAGTAACAGATGGGGGAGCCAGAATGAGGCAGCTTGAGAGGCCAGAGGCTGGACCTGCTGCAGGAAATGGCCTTGATCCCCCTCTGCAGGGAATCTCCAGGTGCAGGCACACAGCCCTCACACACACTCACACCAAACACACATCAATACTTAACATGCACATACACAGAGAGACACACACACATATGCACAGAGACATTCACCTGGACTTCCACAGACCCGCACACACAGATATGCACACAGACAGGCACATATACTCCCACACAGGGTTATGCTCATGCACATGATGATGACACACAGACATAGAGGCACCTACTCACACAGACTTGCATGCATAGGGATACACAGACACACATAAACCCTTGCACAGAAACGTGTACATATGTATACACTCATAAGACATGAACACAGAGTCATCACTATAGAGTCAGACACTATGCTTGTTTGTCTTTTGCGTGTCTCTAAGTATTTGTGAGTTTGCTTGTGGGTGTCTCTGTTTGTGTGCAGCCTCTTGTGAACGCGTGTACAAGCAAACTCACAAATACTTAGAAACACACAAAAGACACACAGCACTCTGAAGGGATCACAGATATATAGCATACTGAAGCAATAGGAGGCAAAAATATATACATAAACATAGCAACACTTCAAAGCAGAAAACCAGCCCCACTGAGGATACACATACTCTCTCTAAACACATTAAGGCAGCTGGGAGGTAGAGCCAATGGTGGCCTTGCCCCACCTTTATCCCTCACTAGAGAAGACCCCTCACTCCAGGCCTGAGAAGGGAAGCTGCATGCCTCAGTGTGTGTGTGTGTGTGTGTGTGTGTGCGCGCGCGCGCGCGCGCACACACACGCGCGCGTGCCTGCATATGTACATAGGGTGGCCTATCTGGAAAGGGCCCCCAAGTGAAGCATGACCCCATTCTCTAGCAGGGCACCTGGAATGGGCTGTGTATTCTGCAAGAAGTTTGAGCCGGGGCCAAAGGAGGATGCTGGCCTGGAAAGGGACGTCAGGAGTTACGGGACTTCAGACCGCTATGGCCCTGACCCTACTGAGGCCCGGCCTGTGTCCTCCTTTGCCCATATCCCCAACTACAACAATTTCTCCCCTCAGCCCATCAGCCCCGCCTTCCTCACTGGGGGCACCATCGGGGGCATATCAGGTGAGTTCAGTAGGCTGGCGGCAGGCATTGCCTGGACTCTGGGAGAAGGGAAGACATAGACTTGTCCTAGGAGCCTTCAGTATGATATGGGGGACAGAGCCCTGCTTTCAGTGCGCAGTTGGAGGGAGTGTGTATAGCCCTACCCTCAGAAACTCCAGTCTGAGTGGGAAACATACCTCTGTCCCAGTGTGAAAGAGGAACCCTGATTACAGATGCAAATAGGAAGTCTTGGTGGGGAAGAAGAGGAGTGGGGGAACTGGGGACTCCCTGGGGCGTGGGAAGGATGAACTTGAAGGTGTGTGTCCTGAATCCATGGGGAACCAAGCTGTAGAGCCTGAATCAGAAATCCACTGGACTCCAAAGGCCTTTGGGAAGCAGGGCGCTGCAGTAGAGGGGAGGCACAGCACCTGACTGAGGAGCAGGACTCTGGGGACGCAGCCCTCTTGGTGCCCCTGTCCTATGCTCTACTTTACTGAGTATCCCTCACTCTGCAGGAACTGGGGTGACCCTGTTCATTGCCCTATATGACTATGAGGCCCGGACAGAAGATGACCTCACCTTCACCAAGGGTGAGAAGTTCCACATCCTGAACAACACGTAAGTGACCAGGCCACCCAGTTCAGGTCATAACCTGGGCTGGGAGCAGGACCCAAGGAGGAATTCTACCTGGTCCCTGTCCTCAGAAAGCTCCATTCTAGTTGGGGACACAGATACATGACAATAACAACTCTGGGTGATTGCTACTGGGGGGAGGGGGCATGAGGAACTATAGGCACAGAAAGAATACTAAAGATGGTCTCCAGGGCAGTGGTGATCAGGGCAAGCTTCCTGGAGGAGGTGATTTCTAAGCTGATACTAGAAAAATAAATACACGGTGAAGAAAGGTGAGAAAAGAGGGAGAATGAGAGAGGACTAGAATAAATAATGACTTCTGGAAACCACCTAGTGCTACAGTCTAGGTGGATCATAAAATAAGAGGTACACAACAGAGAGAACAGAAGCTGGAGAGGGCCGTGGGAGTAGATTCTGCCATGTTGAGTTGTCTAGATTTTATCTAGAAGGAAATATGTAGCCACTGGGGAGGGGAGTGGATTTCAGTGGGGAATTGACCTACCTAGTTAGCTATCCACTGCCTACCTGAACTGCTCAGCCCAGCTGAGGAGCCAGAGGAGAAAGCCAAGAAGCCTAGATGTCCCCAAACACATCCCTTCTGCAGGGAATTGTCTCCTAGGGCAGCCGCAGTGGCTGGGAACAAAACAGATAAAAGCCCTGGGGTATGTGTGTCCAAGGTAAGGGATTGGCGGGGCCAGTCTCCACCTGATCCTCTGTGTGGCCCTGCCTGGCCCCAAGGTGCCCCCGAGGCTGGGTTGCTGCTGATCCCCCCTGTTCTGTGCCTGCAGTGAGGGTGACTGGTGGGAAGCTCGGTCCCTCAGCTCCGGACAAACTGGCTACATTCCCAGCAACTACGTGGCCCCTGTGGACTCCATCCAGGCTGAAGAGTGAGTAGGGATTGGGGGGAGCCCAGCCCTATGGATAGGACTCTGGAGTCCAGACTCAAGGTCACCTCTTGGACAAGTCACACCTCCACTCTCTCTCTTTATCTATAATTCGGTAAGGTCATTTTGAGAATAAAAGAAGATAATGATAATAATAGTAGATGGTACTTATCTAGTATGTACTACATTCTGGGCATTATTCAAAGTGCTTTCTATGTATTAACAGAGTTAGAAACTAATATTATCCTGTTTCAAAAAGGAGGAAACTAAGGCACAGAGAAGTTAACTATCCTGCCCAAGTTCACATGACTAGTAAGTAGGTGGAGCTGGTATTTGAACCCCGATAGTCTGGCTGCATTTGCTAAGCATTATACATATGGCCTCTCAGTGATAACAGTGTATGAGCTTTAAAAAATTGTAAGGTGCAGGGCTGGACAAGTGGCTCAGTTGGTTAAGAGCTCGCTCAAGAGTGTGAACTCTGAGCAACAGCGGTTCGAGTCCTGGCCCGAGCTGAGCTGCCAACTGGTGGCAGGATGGCTCAGCTAAAAAAAAAAAAAATTGTAAGGTGCTAAACAAATGCAGGGGGGCATTACTTAGAATTAATTCTACTAAGGAGGCAGGGAATTAGCATTCATGGAGTACCTTTAAATACTTGAGATACTATGACAGGAAATTTACCTACCTTGATTCATTTAATACTATTGTCCCCATTTTACAAATGAGAAAACTGAGGCTCGTAAAAAAATTTTAATCTTCACATATACATACGTATATGGGAAAAGGAAGATTGGAGAGGCTGCAGAGTGAGAGTCACCAGGACTTGGTGACTGATTTGCCACTGAAGTATGGGGAGTGGGAGGACTCCAGGGTGGCCCAAAGTCTTCTTGAGGAATTGGCTGGGTCATGGGGCCATTTGCTAAAGTGGGGAACACAGGAGCAGGTCAGGTTCTGGCAGGGACTTGTCAGGTTCATGGAGAGAAACATCCAGGTGGAGGAGACTGCCAGCAAATAGATTAGGTTGTACTTTGCATGACAGGTGCCCAGCCCATGCCAAGCCAGGCCTCTGAATTAGCCCAAAGGAAGGAGCATCTTCGCCTAATTGGCACTAAGGCTCTTGGTTTCCTTGCTGTGGCTCATGTAGAGGGCACGTCTGGGTTGGGTGGAAATTTGGGACTCTTCAGAGTAGAGATAATAATGAAAGCTGCCTATAGGGGGGTGAAGGAAGAGGGAGGGGAGGGAGGGACATTGGCCCTAGGACCCACCTTTAGAGAAAGCTGCCCTTGAAGGAGAAGGAGCTGCTGGAAAACCAGGCCAGGCCACGCCACAGCAGCCAAGAAGGCATAGGAGAAGTTTCAGGAAATGAGAGGGAGTATCAGAGGCTGCCACTGGATTTGGCAATGGAGGTGACCTTGGTGAGAGAGCTCTCTGTGTGAAGTGGGGTGGAGGCCAGACAGCAGAGCCTGGGAAGGAGTAGGAGGTGAGGAAGTAGAGACCCAAGTGTGAAGTGCTTTTTTAAGTGAAGGGAAGGTGAGAGATATCGCAGAATGTTGATGGCAAGATAGGGCTTAGAACAGTTTCTTTGGGGGAAGGAAGAGATGTAGGCATATGTAGAGGCTGTGGGATGGAGAGGCTGCCGATGAGGCCTTGATTTGAAAACTATGCTAGTTGGTGGAAGACAGGCATCCTGAGCAGAGGGAAGTGGATGGGGTCCAGAGCTCAAGTGGGCCAAGGCCTTCATCTGAGGAGGGTAGCAGGAGGCATGGAGGAGAGAAGGGGTGATGATGCAGAAGATGGCAGGTTGGGAGGCGGGGAGTTCACGCTTGTTTTCACACCCTGGGGCAATGCCCGAGAGGCACTCAGTGCAGTGTCATCCTTAAGAACAGTGTCATGGTTAAGAGTGCAGGCCCTAGAGCAGACCACTTGGGTTCCTATTTCTGGCAACACAGCTTAAGAGCCTGTGGCCTTAGACAAGTTGCTTCACCACAAGGTATCTCAATTTCCTCATCTGTCTAATGGAGGTAAAAATAGTACTTACCTCGCAGCATTGTTATAAGAATTAAATGAATACATGCATGTATTAAAGCAGAGCCTGACACAAAATAAGTGCTGTTATTACTATATTAATTATTAAGGAAGTAGCGAATGTCATGGGTGGGGGTGGGGGCAGAGCTTTGAAAAAACTTGGCAATGTGTCTTGTCTATACAGTCCATCAACAGTTCCTCCTTCCCCATCCTGCCCACCCTCCGGGACATTCCATTTGCCAATGCCTTCCCCTGTTTTTCAAACTGTGTCTAATACCCAGGTGTGGATTGACAATCCCAGCGATCACTGAGGCTACCAACTCCCTTGTTTTGAAAACTATTGGGTTGTCGGAAAAGTCATAACGCATTTTTCCAACAAAAAAACATAGAATAAATACGTCATGACTTTTCCGACAACCCGATATGCTCCTTTTAATTGAGCCCAAGATGGTCATGGCGCAATTTAATGATCAAATGACATCTGAGTCTTCTACAGCACCTGTGGTCACTTCAACTCCCCAGTATACTTTCACAGTTGGTTTGAGGCTACAATTCGGTCCCAAGAAGACTATCTGAGAGAGCAGGGATGCTTGAGGTCTGAGGCTGACGTTGCGACTTAGAACAACATCCAAATTTAGAGTGGGGGAAAAGCAGCAGTCAAAGCCGGCCAGGAGCAATCAGAAAGAGAGGAAGAGAAGCAGGAAAGGGTGTCATTCTGGAAGTCAAAGGAGAAAAGGGTTTGGGAGTGGGTGTGCGGAGAAGCATCTGAGTAATTGCTTGGGGTGGTGGGAAAAGAACTAGGGTGGGCGGCAAAAGATTTCCAGTAGAGCTCATCAGCTGGCCTGTGGGTAGCTCACTTCCCCTCTCCCAGCCTCAAATTCCTCATCTGTAAAATGAACCCATGAGGGGCAGTAATGAGATGGACTAATGGACTGGTTGGCACCCTGATCACTGGTGACTGGGATTCTACCAATTTTAAGAGAAACCCAGAGAGTGGAAAGGAGAAGCTTAACCTTACTGGGCACCTACTGTGTGCCAGGCATTCTAATTCCCCTTCTCTGTGATCTTCATCATCAGGCTGTGAAGCAAGTGCCCTTTTAAGGGTGAGGACATTGAATCTCGGCTTATGAGGTGACTTTTCCAGGAGGCTGAGTTGGGGATTGAACTGGGTATACCTGACTCTTGTTGGCCCTTCCCAACAGGTGGTACTTTGGAAAGATGGGGAGGAAGGAAGCAGAGAGACAGCTGCTCTCGCCAGGCAATCCCCGGGGAGCCTTTCTCGTTCGGGAGAGCGAGACCACCAAAGGTGGGGACTGCATTGGCTGGCCCTGGACCCGGACAGCCTAGCCATTAGGGTGGGGCTAGGAGCAGTGGGGTGGGGCTTGGCTCAGGGCCAAGACTGGGACAGGGTGGAGCGACAGAGCTAAGACTGGGAGTGGGTTCAAGGGATGCAGCCGTCCAACTCAGTGTCCTCAGCCTTTTGGGCCTCTCCTGGTTTCCACACTGGGGACAGGGAGGAAAGTAGGCAAAAAGGTGACTCTTCTCTACAGGCGCCTACTCCCTGTCCATTCGGGATTGGGACCAGGCCAGAGGCGATCACGTGAAGCATTACAAGATCCGCAAGCTGGACACAGGTGGCTACTACATCACCACGCGGGCCCAGTTCCAGTCGGTGCAGGAGCTGGTACAGCACTACATTGGTAAGGGTGGGCCCTTGGGGCTGGCATGTGCTGAAGATGGCTGACCCAACCCACTGAGACTGAGGCCCAGAGAAGGAAAGGGTCTCCCAAAGCAGGAATGGCTGACCAAGACTAGAACCCAAGTGTCTGGACTTGTACCAGGATATTGCTCTGTAGGATTCCAGAGGAAACCAAGGCCTGAGGCCATCTATGGCCAAACGGCGCCCCTAATGTCTGAGCTGGTTAGGAGGCAGAATAGGACTGACTTGGAGGATGGGCTTCAGGGCTGAGGGGAAGGTGAGAATCATGCCCAGGTTTCTGCTTTAGTTAGTTAGGACAAGGATGAGGTCCATGTAAGGGCCACATGTCCACATTTTTGTCTGGAACCCTCAACTCTATTTCCACCTGTCAGAATCCCACCTGATCCTTGGAGGCCCAGCTGGAGGCCACCTCCTATGGGAAGGCCTCCAATCCTTACAGGGATCATCTCTCCCTCTTGGAGCCACCTCCTTCCCTGGGTGGATTGCCTTCTGTCTTGGCCTATGACTTCACCTGTGGCCTAGTTCCTTATCACTGATCTTGGAGGCTGGGGTGGGATGAGGGATGTGCGGGCTGTCCTGGCCCACCTGTGACCTCCAACACCCCTCTCCCCAGAGGTGAACGATGGGCTGTGCCACCTGCTCACGGCAGCCTGCACAACAATGAAGCCACAAACTCTGGGCCTGGCCAAGGATGCCTGGGAGATCAGCCGAAGTTCCATCACGCTGGACCGCTGGTTGGGCACTGGCTGCTTCGGGGATGTGTGGCTGGGTATGGAAGTACCTGGGGATGGGGCTGGGGCTCGGGGCAGGCTTGAAGGCTTGGGTTGGCAGGGAGCGCGTCCTGACTAGCCGCGGGCGCCCTGTAGGCACATGGAACGGCAGCACGACCGTGGCAGTGAAGACGCTGAAGCCGGGCACCATGTCCCCGAAGGCCTTCCTGGAGGAGGCGCAGGTCATGAAGCTGCTGCGACACGACAAGTTGGTGCAGCTGTACGCTGTGGTGTCGGAGGAGCCCATCTTCATCGTGACGGAGTTCATGTGCCATGGTGAGGGGCGGGGTCAGAAGGCGGAGTCAGGGGGAGGGCAGGATTTGGGGCAAGTTGAGGTGCATGTCTCTGGGGGAGGAACCTGGGTGGAAACCTGTCATTGGATGAGGAACAATGGGCAGTCCGAGCGAGCTGGGAGTGGGGGCGGGGCCAAGTTATTCAAGGTGGGGTCTGGGCCTGTAGGCGGAGCCTCTGTCGTAGGGGGAGGGGGTAGTCAGCTGGTGGGCGGGGTTTGTGAAAGTGAGATCTGTAATGAGGAAGGGTCTGGGGTTGAGTCTGACTGGGGTGAGTCTAGGGAAGCTAGGTGGAAGAGAAGAAACGAGATGTGGACAGAGTCTGGGTGTCTGCAGGAGCCGGGCCTGGGAGAGATCTGTGAGGGGCTGAGGCACTTGGCGGGATCCTGAGTGAGGGTGGATCTAAATGAGAGGACTGGGAGCAGGGGGCGGGGCCAAGGAGATGGGTTCTGGATGGGGGCGGGGCTAAGAAAGAGAAGGCTAGCCTGGAGCTGGGAGTAGGGTCTTGCTGCTGATTTTCTGGGTTCTTCTCCCCAGGTAGCTTGTTGGAGTTCCTCAAGGATCGGGAGGGCCAGGATTTGAAGCTGCCCCAGTTGGTGGACATGGCAGCCCAGGTAAACTGGGATAGCAGCCTTCAGTTCTCAGACTCCCCCTCCTATTAACCTTCCACAAATCCTTGTGCCCTCAAACACCTAGCCTACCCCTGATGTGCAGCCCCACCCACTGTATCAGCTGTGAGACCTGAGGCAGGGCACTGCCTGTCTCTGAGCCTCAGTCTCCTCATCTGGAAAGTTGGTTTTTCACATGATCCATCAAACAAGCCATGGTGTTTTCATCTCTCCATATCTTGGCCCCCAGGTAGCTGCAGGTATGGCCTACATGGAGCGCATGAACTACATCCACCGAGACCTGAGGGCAGCCAACATTCTCGTGGGGGAGCGGCTGGTATGCAAGATCGCTGACTTCGGCCTGGCCCGTCTCATCGAGGATAATGAGTACAACCCCCGGCAAGGTGCCCTGCCTCACCCCACCTTGGGGCCCCACATACTCAGGAGCCCTTCCCCGTCCCAGACCATCTGGGACACTCCCATCCTGATGTAGTGTAAGAGGCGACTCTGTGTTCAAATCCTCCACTTACCAGCCACATGGTCTCGGGCATCACCTAACTTCTGTGAGCTGTCTGGTCTCATCTGTAAAATGAAAATATTCAGACAACAGTAAGACAACAAATATTTATCAAGCACCTACTATGTGCCAGGTACTGCTACAATTCTCAAGGGAAAGACAGTAAAGTGTGATAGTGTGAACTTTGTAGCCAGAATGCCTGGGTATGAATCCTAACCACTTAAAAGTGGTGTGGGCTGCATAAGTTACTTAACTACTTAATGCCTCCTTTTCCTCATCTGTACAATGGGGATAATAATAGTATGTACCTCGTGAGCTTTTGTGAGGGTTAAATTAATTAATGCATGCAAATCACTTAAAATAGTGCCTGGCATGTAGTAAAGGCTATACAGCAGGACCTCAAATAATGTCATTTCGTTCAACATTGTTTCATTATAACACTGATGAGAAAAAAAACATTGATTTCCCACTGGGACCACTGTCTATGTGGAGTTTGCACATCCTCCCTGTGTCTGCGTGGGTTTCTCCAGTTTCCTCCTTATCTCAAAGCTGTGTACAGGAGGTGAATGGGCATGTCTATATTAGCCCAGTCTGAGAGTGTGGGTGTGAGTGGCCCTGCGATGGAAGAACATTCTGTTCAAGGTGCAGAGTCTTGCCTTGAGCGTTGAGCTGCCTGGAGAAGCTCAGGCTACCCATGACCCTGAACTTGGAATAAGCGGGTTGGAAAATAATTATCTTACTTGTTTTTATTCACCTTTCTTTAATGTATGTATAGCTCACATTGATTTCATTGTTTAATATTAGAAGTTTTGAGTCTTTATTTAGAAGTCTGGTGATGTTTTTGTGACCAGAAATATGCCACAGGAACTTAACTCTTGTTTATATCAATTATTAGCTTTGGGTAAAATTGGTTTCATTATATGTTGTTTCTCTTAAAGTCTCACTTTCCAAGAACCTATTGATGACATTAAGTGAGGATTTACTGTACAAACATTAGGTGTTATTACCATGAGAATTACAATGTTTGTAAAGTGCCCTGCACTATGCTAGACACACAGTAAGTGCTGGCTAGATACTGGGTCTTTCTGTTATGCCCAGGGACCTCTGTGCTCAGAGATCCCAACCCTAAAGACACCATTCTAATCCAGCTGTTCCCAGGGACCTCCTTCACTAACTTTTCCTTCTCCCCCAATCTCTCCAGGGACCAAGTTCCCTATCAAGTGGACAGCCCCAGAAGCTGCCCTTTATGGCAAATTCACCATCAAGTCAGATGTGTGGTCCTTTGGGATCCTGCTCACTGAACTCATCAGCAAGGGCCGAGTCCCTTACCCAGGTTTGCTGGGGAATAGGGAGATGGAAGGGTGGTCATGGGGAAGGACTTCCTTCTGGCTGCCTCTCTGGGAGGGGCTAGGCCCTGTGACTGACAGAGTCCTTCCCTCCAGGCATGAGCAACCGGGAAGTGTTGGAACAGGTGGAGCACGGCTACCACATGTCATGCCCCCCAGGCTGCCCAGCATCTCTGTACGAGGCCATGTTGCAGACCTGGCGTCTGGACCCAGAGGAGAGACCTACCTTCGAGTACCTGCAGTCTTTCCTGGAGGACTACTTCACCTCCACAGAACCCCAGTACCAGCCTGGAGATCAGACATAGCCCATTTGGGCATCAGCAACCTCTCTGGGAGTGCCCACCAGCCTCTTCCAATCCCCAGGGTTCTGGTCCCAAAGCCCCCAGGCTTAGAACCCTATATCCTAGCATGTCAGAGCACGCCAGTTGCTTTGATGCCATTGAGGGCAACCCACTGATTTTAAAGATGGGCAAATCGAGGCTCAGAGATCATTCCTCACCCACTCTGGCCCCAGGCGCCATTTCTCTCCTTCCACCTTAGGCCCCTACATGCCTCTACTCTTTTTGCACACACACACAAATGCTCAGACCCTGTCTAGTTATTTACAAAACTGCATATCCTGGGCTGGCCGAGTGGCTCAGTTGGTTAAGAGCTCGCTCAAGAGCGTGAGCTCTGAGTAACAGCAGTTCAATGCCCGGCCCGAGCGGAGCTGCCGCTGAGCTGCCAACAGGTGGCAGGATGGCCCAGCTAAAAAAAACAAAAAAAACCAAAACTGCATATCCTTTCTCTCACTTATCTCTCATCTCTGCTTAGGAAAGGTTCTGAGAGATAGGGTTCAAATTTCATCTCTACCTACCCTGTCATCCCACCCTGGTCCAGGACCCCGGAATTCACCTCCTACCCAATTCTCTTGTGTCTGTAAGTTACAAAGATAGGGAAAGACTTTCCTGGATCCCTTTCCTGCTGGACGTTATAGTCCAGGACTAGGGTCCAAGTCCAGGACTGAGGGAAAAGGTTGCTGAGGGCTCACCCCCTCCCCCCTCCCGTCTGAATCATGTGTCTGTTTATTGATTTTGTAAATAAGAAAAATGATGATATGAATCCTTGAGCCATGAAAATCTCTTCCTTTGGGAGGGATGGTGGTCAGTGGGAGGTGAGTGGGGCTGCTTTGGCTGCTGGAAAGAGGGGGATGTGAGAAAGTACCCCTAATGCCCACTTAGCACAGGGCACCTAAGGGGTATTTTAGAACACCCAAAAGTCCCAATGCTCATCTGCAAGGGAGTTTAGGATGAGCTGAGAGATGGATGCAGAAGACAGGCAACTGGATATCAAAATGTCCCCTTCATTACTGATGTGGCTTTCAGTCTGTGTGCAGTGGGTTTGCTAATTCTTTACTTTATTTCAGCTGATTTACTGTTCATCACAGGCACAGCTGCAAGCCTCTCCCCCACCCCACCCCCACAGGGGCAGGGAGGGGGTGGGGAGGCAGGAAGACCACAGTGGGACCTCTGTAGCTCCCGCAAAAGAAGACAGAGAGAGAGAGAGAGAGAGAGAGAGAGAGAGAGAGAGGAAGGGAGAGGCCTGGAAGTTAATCTCTAGCTCATTGGATCTCAAGTGGGGCAGCCATCCTGCCACCTGTTGGCAGCTCAGTGGCAGCTCAGCTTGGGCCGGGACTCAAACCGTTATTGCTCAGAGCTTGCACTCTTGAGCGAGCTCTTAACCAACTGAGCTACTCGGCTGGCCCTAGAGGGCTTTGGAGAGGTTTAGAGGCAGTTTCATTTGTCACAGTCACTGGGGGCCCCTACTGGCATGGAGTGGGCAGGGGTTGGAGGTGTTAAACCTGCCATCCACCTGTGCAATGAGGAAGTGTCCCATCCCCCACTCCTCCTTTCAGAAACTGGCAGCTGATGTGCCTCCATGTGGAAACAAGAGGAACAGGGAATAAGGATTCCCACCTCTGCCATCAGGAAATTGTTGACCCCTGACTTACTAAGAGGGTGGATGGAGAGAAGCTAGGAGCTGAGAATGACTGCTGCAATTGGCAAACAATAAATAAGCAGTCACTCTGTGAAGGGCCTTGTGCTAAGCAGGACCCCAGGAATGCAAACATGAACAAGACCTGTCCCTGTCCTGGAGGTGTCAGGCTGGAGAGAAATAATAGTAATAAATAATAACTCATTTATTAAGTGTCTGCTGAATGTCAGATGTGTTTACATCCATTTAATCCAGTCCCGAGTCTGGTTCTATGATTAGCCTCCATTTACTGATGAGGAAACTGAGGCTCAGGGGTCACACAGATAGATATACATGACAGAGCTGGGATTTGAACCCAGGTCTCATGCCAAGGCCCATGATCTTTCTACAAGATCTCACTGCCTCTGGGCTTTGGCAAGAGATCATATCTGCCCCAGGTAGATGTTTGGAAGATCCTTCTCCCTCTAGATACTGGTAGAAACATTCCCTGGAAACCCTCTCAAGTTGAGTGACCTGAAGGAAAGGGGACAAGGTGGCCAATGTAGATCGAGAGTTCCCTCTGTTCAGCCCTATGCTGAGGGTTGCTGAATGGCAACAATAGGATGGAAAGAGGCCAAGTGGCTGCTTAGAGAAGTGGTCACAGGGGTGGGAGCTTTAGCTCTGCACACTCAAACTCTCAGGGCCAAGCCTTCCTCAGGGCCATAGTCTCTGGCTGACCAAACTCACAAGAGCCTGATGTATAAGCCAGAGGCCCAGTGTTTCCATCTGCCATGGAATAAGCAGATAAGAGCACAGCTCTAGAGCTGTACCTCCTGGTGTGAATCTTGATTCCACCACTTGCTAGCTGTATGATTTTGTGCAAGTTATTAATCTGTCCAAGCCTCAATTTCCTCATCTTTGAAATGGCAATAAAATGCTTAATATATGTTAGCTCTCTTTGTCACTACCTTTTACAAATTCTTCTATGCCAGGTATCCTGTGAAGTGCATGCTGCCATTTCATTGTCACAGAACCCTATGAGGAGAAGACTATTATTATATCTTCACTAATAAGGAGGCTGAGGCACAGTGAAGTAAATAGGTTATAGAACATAAGTGGTAGAGCAGAGGCTTGAAATAGGTCCTCTGACTCTAAAATCAGTGCTCTTAGTCTCAATAGTCTTTTCCTGGTACCAAAATGTTTTTATCTGCCTGATGGGGCTCTGCCTGGTACCTGGACGCCCACTGAGTTTAAATGAAGACCCAGTTGGGCAGTGAGCCACCTGGAGTTCACCAGGCTCTCACTGCTCAGCAGAGACCAGAGCCACCTGAGCCTGGAATCCCTGTATCTACTGGTTGCCTGTCCCTCCCCCTGGTGCAGCTGAATAAATTCTCCCTTGCACCCCCTTTTTGTGCATCCTTCTGTTCCCTTCAGATAGAGCACAATGCAATTGATTAGGCCTCTGTTTTCTCAATTTCAATCACATCCTCGCCCTGCCTCCCTGAGATTACAGGCAGGTCACCTTGATTGCGGTTTCCACCGTTCACAAAACCCTTCGGTCGTTTACAAAACCATCTCTCGCCTCATTCACTCCCCCACCTGGCTCCTCTCTGCCGTGATGTGTAGATTTTACTGGCTTAAGACTCAGAGGGCAATTTTATTTCCAAGTTCATGGTGGGGGAGGAGGACACCTAATTGACTGATGCTAGGTGTTTCTCATGCATCATCTAATATGATCCTCCCGAGGCAGTGCAGAAGTGTGATTATTCCCGTTTTATAAAAAAGGAAACAAAGACTCTGAAAGGCTAGGACACCTGCCCAAGGTCATACAGCTGAATGGTAGAGTCAGGATTTGAACCCAGGTNCCGTTTTATAAAAAAGGAAACAAAGACTCTGAAAGGCTAGGACACCTGCCCAAGGTCATACAGCTGAATGGTAGAGTCAGGATTTGAACCCAGGTTTGTGTGACATCAAAGTTTCATGCATCCCATTGTGTCACATGCGCTTATTTGATGAAGCAGCATGGGAAAGTATAATACTAACCCGAGTCAGGCCCAGAGAGGGCATGGTGCAGATAAGGCTCTGGGGAAGCCCCATATATGCTGAGGATTGTATTTGTAAAAGAACCAAGTCATTTATTAATTTCACAGGCATTTACTGATATCTCCTGTAACGGGTCCTGCCCAGGAGGCAGAACAGTAAACAATTACAACATTTATGGGCAAGGTCAGTCTGGAGGCCAAGGGATACTTCTTGGAAGACGTGAAAGAAAAGTCTGCCTGATGAAGCAGCAGAGGGTGAGATCATGTCCCTCTGAGGGAATAGCACATGCAAAGGCCCAGAGGTATGGTAAAGCAAGGCCAAGTCAGGCAAGTGCAAATAATTATGTATGGGAGGTTTGAGAGTGTGGATAAGGCATGGAAGAAGAAGGTTGGGAGATCAGAGGCATGAGGTAGAAGGATCAGGAAGCCAAAGGGCATGGCTCCTGAGTTGTGGAGAAACGTCAGAGAGAAATCTAAGGAGCCTAGGACCTATTGGGGATAAGTCTATCTTGGATCCCACTGCTCCCGTGCTGAGCTAGATGGACTCACTATCCACTACAGTAGTTTTTTCTCAGGTACAGTATCAGAAGCCTCCCTTCCATTTCTCTCTCTCTCTCCCCCCCCCCACCCCACACCCCCATGGTCCTGCGGTGATGTTCATATGCCCTCTAGTGGTCATTCTGAGGAATACATTTAAAACTGACAAAAAGTTTCTGCTGGGAAAGGACTTGGTCCCTTCAGAACCTTCCCATCTCATAGGATGGGATAATCAGCACAAGTTCCTGCCCTCGAAGCTCACAGTAATGGTGATGAGGATGAAGGGGTGAAGGGGACAGACACATGCAGGAAATGTGGGAGAACAGGGGAGGGTCCTAACTCAGTTGGCCAGGGGGAAATCTGGAAGGCTTCTCAGTGGAGGTGTTGTTTCACTGGAGACTTCCAAAAGGAGTAAAAGTTTGCCTGATAAAGAAGCAGGAGAAAGGCATTCCAGACTCAACAGAATTAAGTGAGCTCAGAGGCACAAAATGGGACTCTGCAGGTAGTTATATTATAATTAGGTAGGTATGACTGGAGTGAAAATTTTGAGGAGGGTTGGTAGCTAAAAATGAAGATGGTAAGGCAGGTAGGCATGGGTCTTGTTTGCCATGCACTCAGGCTAGGATTCTAAGCGTTTGGCCAGGGGAAGCACTGCAGGGTCTTGAGTAGGAAGATAACAAAGTCAGATTCACTGTCCAGAAGTAACCCTCTGGTGACCAACATGAAGGAAGAAGGGGAAGGGAAGAGGTGGGAGAGGGACACCGCTCTTGGATACAAAGAACCACACCAAGTCACACTCATAGGAGGGCATATAGCTTTGAGCAGGCCTGTGAACCAGACACATGATGATACCTACAGACAAGTCAGTGGGATCCCAGGCTGAGCAACCAAAGATAAACAAAGATAAGCAAGCAGCGCATGCGCTGATATACACTCAGACATATAACTCAGGTCCACCAATCCAAGGACACACATTTACTCCCAGACACAGGCTGACAGAACCACAAACACCAGAACCACAAACACCCTAACGGACACCGAAATTTCTCTCTCTCTCTC